CGGCATCACATTTTGAGAAGACATTGTTGAGTCAACCCGAATGTAACAGAATGTAATTTTGATTTTATTCTAGCGAGCAGAAGAGGTGATTAACAGCCATAACACATCAACACCTATCTTCCTTTATCTTCCGTTCCAAAATGTTCACGCGCCAACACAGGCGCCTCAGCGATTCGTGAATAAATATAAATATATTAAAAACACTAAAAGACGAGATTATTCAGCCATGGTTAGTGCTGTGGACGAGGCGATAGGTAATGTGACCAATGCCTTGAAGAAAAAGGGGTAAGTGAAAGATTCTATAATGAATGTATATACCTATATAGAGGTTTAGCTGACTCTGCCTGCTTGTGAACGTTTGATTTGAGCCCGCCACGATGAGCGCGCGCTCAAAAACTGCTGAATAATSTACRAGATTTTATTGAAGAACCACACAYGTTTTGAACTAACGAGAGGGCAAAGTCCTTATTTGCACGGGAGTCTATACTTTTTATGAGCTTATTCGAAAAAACTTCTAAAACTCTACGTTCTATCAAATTCTTTAGAAAAGAGCTATTATCTTGTGCAACAAGGGCCACAACCTTTCTACTGAAATATTTWAAAAAAGTGTAGGTTAGGCTGGGAATTAAACCCATGACTTTCCGCACGACAGGTCGGTGCCCATCCAACTGAGTCAATTGTAAATAAGACTTCCACAATAGATTTTAGTTTCCGTCAATCTAGAAATAACAGGTGAACATGAGAAAACTTGCAGCGTCAGGAGTTGGGCGTGGCCAGCAGTAAAACGAAAACTGCTCTAACGATGGRCAGAAATTTAGCATTGAAAATCGTTTGCAAAGCGGAATATAATGATATTTGTCACACGACATTCTGCTTTATTTCCATTTGACTAGAAACCAACGTTTAACGTTTATTCCCACCTAAACTGATCCTTTTTTCTGGTAGTAATTCTCTCCCTCTTTACTCAGATTATGGGAGAACACATTGATGATTTTTACAACAGACAACGGTGGTATTCCTTTAGGAGGTGGATACAACTGGCCTCTCAGAGGACACAAAGCCTCACTTTGGGAGGGAGGGGTGAGAGGGGCAGGATTTGTTCATGGAGAGATGATAGCCCAGAAGAAGCGCAWTTGTAAAGAGCTTATCCACGTGACTGACTGGTACCCGACTCTTTTTGCTCWGGCAGGTAACAGAAACAGGAAGCTTTTCTAACATAACGTATCTTGAACAACACATTACCAAAACTATGTTGTGATTGGGCATAAAAAAGCTATGGGAAGCCATTTCAATGTTACAMTATTAGTTTGTACCGTGTATGTGCTGTAAGACACTACCTAGCCTCTTCCCCAGGCTGGTCATTGTCAGATCTCCTAAATCCAAAATGGCGGACGCTTCAACGGCATTTCGTACCGTGTTCGTGTTGTAAGTCAGTACTGTGCGCTCCCACTCGTAGCATTGTGCGGCTTTAATCGTATGAGTGAGAAACGATATAGGGCAAATTCGTTACCGTACTGTAGCCGCGTGGTATCTTACCTTAGCCGTAAATAAGCTTCAGTGTGGTTGGATTCCTTAATGGAAGACAATGGAAAGCCATTTTAATGTTATAGTATGTGGTACCATGTAAGTGAGGTAAATCAGTACCCGCACATTTAATACTTTTACGAAAATCAAATCGGTCTAATCGCTCTATGCATGTCGGCATGTCGTAACATGTCGTAACATGTCGTAACATGTAACATGTGCTTTAAGTCAGTACGTACGAAAATCAATTTCTTTGTCGCCGTAGGTATCAAAGGCTCTGCAGTCCCACCTCCACTTGACGGTTTCAATGTCTGGGAAGCGATCTCAAACGGAAAGCCCTCTCCAAGGAAAGAAATCCTTCATAACATCGACRTGGCTTYGTCAYCAATACTTGATAAAAGTGGTGGYCATGAAGGGATTGCTTTACGTGTTGGGGACATGAAGATCATGATAAATGTACCCAACTTAACTTGGTTTAAACCACCTGAACTGGAGAAAAAATGGCCAGGCGGAGAAAATCAAGAGGAAAAAGATCAGGTGAGTGTCGGTGTATCATAAAAAAAATGTCATTTAGAGGTGCGTGAAATTGAGGCGAATTAATGAACGAACGCGGACGGACATAATGACGATTTAACATACCTATGTTTTAATCTCAATGAGCGAATGGATTGATGAATGAAACGAATGACTGATTGAAGTAGCACGGGTGGCGTAGCGGTGAGAGCGCTACGGGTTTGTTAACGTTAGTCACTGATATGACTATTAAACGCTACCGTCGCATCGAAAGGACTATATATCATTCTATTATTTAAAGACTAAACATACGGAAGGATAGACGACTTGGAAGATCACTATCACTAACTTGCAAAGTTCTTAAATTCTTTCTTACAGGATTCAATAATATAATCAAAATGGCGCTGTACAACATCACCGCTGACCCTGAGGAACGCACTGATCTCAGTACCAGACTTCCAGATGTAGTAACGACCCTAATGAAACGAGTTGATTTCTACATGAAGGGCGTGGTACCATCCCTTAAGACTGCTCCTGATAAGAAAGCAAAACAAATGGCTAAACGGAATGGTTACTGGGGGCCTTGGAGAGAATAGAATTAATTCGTCTTTGCGYAATGTTTTCCCATTTCAGACCACGTGTCATTCTCTTGAGATTAAGATTCTTTGTTTGAGTTGTATCCACATTCATGTGTCTTCTCATGCGCAACTGTTAAACAAAGAAATTTTATTCTAGGGAATAACACGTGGTTATGAAATGGGTAAACATTACACCATGAGACGAATTAGGTGTATTAGAAGAATAGCCTGGGTATTACAAGGGAAACACATCTGCTGCCTGAACAGAAATGAAAAAAAAAAAGACCACAATAATTACGTAATTACAGTAAAATGAAGAAGAAAGAAGGGAATTTAAAATAAATGATAAATAAATTGTGTGTGGATAAAAATCCATCAAAATCTAATTTCGGCGACCTTGGTTTACGAACACGACACGAGTTTTGGGAATTTGAAAAGTTCTTTTAAGTAATTTTTCAAAGTGAAAGACTCAGGATACGGATGAGGACTACAACACGGGCGGAGAGACAGAGGTAAAATACAGTAAATGTATGTAAATTGGGTCGTGAGGGGCCCGTGAAAAGCACTCTACGCCAGTGATATAGCTTTTTTTCAAAACACACTATTCAATCAGCAGCCAAGCCCTGCTATCCTTTATCCTTCCAGTTTGTTGTATCACAAAGCAATCGTATACACTAAATCGAGGCTAATGAGGATGGGTTTTCTAACCACCAAACACATCATTACGAGGCGACGAACAACACGTTTAAGACAAAGTTGGCAGACATTTTCCCTCGACAATAGACATTCATGTCCGAAACTAAATCGATGATAAAAGCTTGAAAATATATCCGCATTTTGTATAATAGGTTTTAACCACAGAAAGACTAAATTGAGTTTGCTTGGTGCTCATTCTCGATTGAACGCCTTGAACAATGATCTTTTCATATGCTTTGAGTTTTGGTAATTAAAAAAAGTGGCTTTAAGTAGTTTTTCATAGTGAAAGATTCAGGATACGGATGAGGACTACATCACGGGCGGAGAGACATAGAGGTAAAATACAGTAAATGTATGTAATTTCGGCTGTGAGGGGCCCGTGAAAAGCACTCTACGCCCGTGATATAGCTTTTTTTCAAAACATACCATTTAATCACAAGCCAAGCGCTGTTATTATCTATCCTTCCAGTTTGTTGTATCACAAAGCAATCATACACTAAATCGAGGCTAATGAGGAAGAGTTTCTAACCACCAAACTCATCATGGACGAAGCGACGAACAACAAGTTTAAGACAAATTTGAAGACAATTTATCTCGATAATAGACATTCATGTCTGAAGTTAAATCGATGATAAAAGGTTAACAATATTTTGTAAAATAGGTGTTTAACCACAAAAAGACTATAAATTGAGTTTGTTTGGTGCTCATTCTTGATTGAATGCCTTCAACAGTTAAACATAAGTAGAGCGGAATGGAACGTTAAATCAATAGCCATGAATTCAGTTTAACAACCCGATAGTAAGTGGCTTTTACGACAGTGACGCATTTAAAGTCACGACGGAAAACGCGTGCGTGTTATTTCGATCGCTATGAAAATAAAGTACGACACAAAGTCTGAAATGCAAATTAATCTAAGCATCCGGTTTTGATAAGGTATATTCCTAGTTCAGATGAGGGATACTCCTAAATCAGGTAAGGCATACCTTTAGTTCAAGTAAGGGATCCTAGTTCTATGTCGGAATATTTGATTCTCTTCTCTTTTTTGCTGTGCTATGATCGAATTTCACGGTTCTTATTAATGACTTTTCGCTATGGTTTCAATTCGAAATACTAAAGTAAAAATAAAATAAAATAAATAAATAAAAATAAATAGATTCACAGATTCTCACAGAGTACCTCTTAAAGTATCAATCTCATAAAAGCCATAATTTTTCAGTAATCTTTCAAAATAACTGCGTCAAAGTACTTTTTCTAGTAATTTTAGACATTTCACTGTGGTTCCCATTCGAAATACTAAAGTAAATTTTTTCCCTGTTCCGACACTCCACCCAGGAAAAGTCCGATCCTAGGAGTGAATCCAGATTGAAATTTTCCACAATTTTAGATTTTGATGCAAAAAGTAACAAATTTTAAAAGAGCAAGAGAAATGGGGATCAATAGTGTGATTTGTTTTGTTTTGGTCGTGAAGGAAAYGGATTTACGAGCATCTAAAGTTTGGACCCGCAAGCCACTTGCACTCCTATACCCATCTCCCCAAGGTACTTGGATAATATAAATTGGCCTTTCTGGAGCCAAAATCTAGCGCTAACTAGCATTACTATGCAGATTGAAAGGGTTTCCTTTCTCCGAAAAATCAGATCAAACATGCTAAAATCGAATGCGATCTTTGTTCGAGCAGCACTGTGACTTTGATTCGCAGGAGCATCGAAGAAACGCAAAGGAATATCCAAACGAGGTTTCTAAATCTATCAATTTGATCAATCGTAACATTTTGTTACCTGTTATTGGCGGCGCGCTATCGCGGAATCACAAGATATCACTTTAACCCAGGCTATTGTCCTTATGCACCTTTATGATAACTAAAAGGCACGTTTTTAACTAGGATAAATCTATCCCTTCAGACAAGCTGAAAAATCGAGCAAGGAAGATTGACAGCCTGTTGTATATGGGATAAAAAGGATGTTCACTATTGGATAAGTCTGTGCCTTGACTTTTTTAACATTCATACAGGATCTACTCTTTACGCTTTTTGTATCCTTTAAGTGGTAAGNCATGAAGGGATTGCTTTACGTGTTGGGGACATGAAGATCATGATAAATGTACCCAACTTAACTTGGTTTAAACCACCTGAACTGGAGAAAAAATGGCCAGGCGGAGAAAATCAAGAGGAAAAAGATCAGGTGAGTGTCGGTGTATCATAAAAAAAATGTCATTTAGAGGTGCGTGAAATTGAGTTGAATTTTTGAACGAACGCGGACGGACATAATGACGATTTAACATACCTATGTTTTAATCTCAATGAGCGAATGGATTGATGAATGAAACGAATGACTGATTGAAGTAGCACGGGTGGCGTAGCGGTGAGAGCGCTACGGGTTTGTTAACGTTAGTCACTGACTATTAAATGCTACTATATATACTATTATATATGCTACTATAGGACTATATATCATTCTATTATTTAAAGACTAAACATTCAGAAGGATAGACGACTTGGAAGATCACTATCACTAACTTGCAAAGTTCTTAAATTCTTTCTTACAGGATTCAATAATATAATCAAAATGGCGCTGTACAACATCACCGCTGACCCTGAGGAACGCACTGATCTCAGTACCAGACTTCCAGATGTAGTAACGACCCTAATGAAACGAGTTGATTTCTACATGAAGGGCGTGGTACCATCCCTTAAGACTGCTCCTGATAAGAAAGCAAAACAAATGGCTAAACGGAATGGTTACTGGGGGCCTTGGAGAGAATAGAATTAATTCGTCTTTGCGCAATGTTTTCCCATTTCAGACCACGTGTCATTCTCTTGAGATTAAGATTCTTTGTTTGAGTTGTATCCACATTCATGTGTCTTCTCATGCGCAACTGTTAAACAAAGAAATTTTATTCTAGGGAATAACACGTGGTTATGAAATGGGTAAACATTACACCATGAGACGAATTAGGTGTATTAGAAGAATAGCCTGGGTATTACAAGGGAAACACATCTGCTGCCTGAACAGAAATGAAAAAAAAAAAGACCACAATAATTACGTAATTACAGTAAAATGAAGAAGAAAGAAGGGAATTTAAAATAAATGATAAATAAATTGTGTGTGGATAAAAATTCATCAAAATCTCATTTCGGTGACCTTGGTTTCCGAATTCTACTTTACACTACATACTCATAAAATCTGCAGTTTCTAAACTCTAGTAAACTTATAGTTTTCTACACGTGGTATTTAACGAAAAAGTGCCTTTAAGTAGTTTTTCATAGTGAGAGATTCAGGATACGGATAAGGACTACATCACGGGCGGAGAGACATAGAGGTAAAATACAGTAAATGTATGTAAATTGGGCTGTGAGGGTGCTGTGAAAAGCACTCTACGCCCGTGATATAGCTTTTTTTCAAAACCCACTATTCAATCACAAGCCAAGCTCCGCTATTCTTTATCCTTCCAGTTTGTTGTATCACAAAGCAATCGTACACTAAATCGAGGCTAATGAGAATGGTTTTCTAACCACCAAACTCATCATTACGAAGCGACGAACAACACGTTTAAGACAAAGTTGGCAGACATTTTCCCTCGACAATAGACATTCATGTCCGAAATCGATGATAAAAGCTTGAAAATATATCCGCATTTTGTAAAATTGGTTTTAACCACAGAAAGACTAAATTGAGATTGTTTGGTGCTCATTCTTGATTGAATGCCTTCAACAGTTAAACATCAGTAGAGAATGGAAGGTTAAATCAATAGCCATGAATACAGTCGAAGATCCCAATAGTAAATATATATTTACAGTTAAAATATTAATTATTCGGCGTAGGTATAAATTAAACTTATATTTTTTTAATGGGGATTTTATCGAGATTAACGAAGCGGCAGTCTGCTCATTTCTGTAAAAAAATATTATCATCTTATGATTATGATTATGATGCGTAAGCCCATCGCTATTCCTCCTCATCCACTTCTGTAATGACACGCATGAAATGTGGGTTTTACGAAAGTGACCAAACTATAAAGTCACGACGGAAAACGCATGTGCGTTATTTCGATCGCTATGAAAATAGTATACGACATATAATCTCAGGATCAACTGCAAATTACCCTAAGCGTACGGTTCAGATGAGGTATATTCCTCGTTCAGATGAGGGATACTCCTAAATTAGGTAAGGGATACATCTAGTTCAAGTAAGGGACCTAATTCTATATCGGAATATATGGTTCTCTTCTCTTTTTTTGCTGTGCTATGATCGAATTTCACGGTCCTCATTATACCAGGATATTGTCCATACACCTTTAAGAACACGGCACGAGTCGTCCGTACCTAGTTTAGTACGGGCTGAATTAGTTCTATCCGCTCAAACAAGCTCAAACGTCCCGCGCAGAGAGAAGAATATTTCAGCTTGTTGTATCTGACTGAAATCGAGTCTAGAACTTGATTAGTCTGTCCCTTGAGTTTTTCACATTCACACAGAATGTCCTTTTTATCATTTTTTCAAACTACAAGTGTTAGGAATTGAGAAAATGGAAACTAGATGGGTTTCAAAGAGAAGGCTTAGATACATACGGATGAGGACTACATCACGGGCGGAGAGACATAGAGGTAAAATACAGTAAATGTATGTAAATTGGGATGTGAGGGGCCCGAAAAAAGCACTCTACGCCCGTGTTATAGTTTTTACCACAAAACCCACCATTCAATCACAAGCCAAGCCCTGTTATTCTTTATCCTTCCAGTTCGCTGTATCACGAAGCAATCGTACACTAAATCGAGGCTAATGAGGATGGATTTCTAACCACCAAACTCGTCATGGACAAAGCGACCAGCAACAAGTTTAACACAAAGTTGGAGACATTTTATCTTGAAAATGGACATGGCTTAGAAACCACTGATTGGCTAATGTAAATATCAACTGAGAGTACGCAATGTGTTCAGCGAATATTTACCACCATTTTTCACTACCGTACGAATCTATTAAATTATTCGCGATTGTTATTCGTACGGGAGTCGGTTCAGCAAATATTTACCAACATTTTTCACTCCCAAAACACTGTGTTGAATGCGTGTTGTGGTTTATTGTCTGCACCAAAACGCTAATGAAAGTTTGAAAAAGTTAATGAACCCACGCAAACATATATATTCATGATTTTCAAATTCAATGCTAAATTTCTTAATGAAAGTTCTATCGCAATCCTGAGACTCCGTTCGCCATATTGTATGCCTGTTCCCTCTAATGACAATGCTTCTTCGCTTCACAGATTCTCACAGAGTAACTCTTAAGAGTATCAATCTCATAAAAGCCATGAAATTTTCGCGGATACTTTTTCGAAATAACTGCCTCAAAGTATGTTTCGTTGTAATGTTAGACTTTTCACTATGGTTTGAAGTCGAAATACTAAAGTCAAATTTTACTGGTTCCGACACTCCACCCAGGAAAAGTCCGATCCAAGGAGTAAATTCAGATTGGGATTTTCTACAATTTTAGATTTTGAGGCAAAAAGTAACAAATTCTAAAAGAGCAAGGGAAATGGGGATCGATGGTATATATTTTTTGTTTTGGTCGCAAAGGAAGTAAATTTACGAGCATCTAAAGTTTGGACCCGCAAGCCTTTTGTACGCCTGTCATAGTATAATAGGTTAATTACTAATTCATACTCATGAACTTTACGTAAAGTACTCATTTATTAACAGGAGGGAATTTTGCATGCGCATGCACGTATCYGCTGATGCATAACAAGGTGATTGCAGGCTACAGAGGTGGCCACTGACCCTTGACGTATGGTTTGAGCCTTGTTTGAACCATGGCGCGGTCATTTAAATTGATATTTTTGGTGGTTACATTGTTTGTAAACGAATTTTATTGCTCTCACAAAACGTGTTCAGTATGTAAGCACTATGAGAACAAAGCAAAGTCAGCCACAAGCTTTAAAAGTGATTTGAAGCAGTGTTTTGGAATTGAAACAACTAGCGAGCAACTGTGGATATGTTCTACGTGTAGAAGGGCAGTCGCCGAATTTCGAAAAAGCGGAAAAACTTTCCTCCACGTAAGTAGTTTTTTTATTTTTTTTTAAATTTACCAAAAGTACAATCTGCATATGTTTTATACAAATTATGATCAGTATACACTTTGTTGCAGCCCGCTCAACAAAGGGAAAGGGGAAGACCGAGGAAAAAAGAAGAATTTCAACGCGCCTATGCTACAGGTGCGGGTGTGGCTCCTTCGAGAATTTTAAACAGCACTCACACCGAAGCTGTAGCAAACACTTTGGATACGAATGGGTGGAAAGTTTAAGAATTCACTGTGTCCAATAACCTCCCTATATTTACAACCCTGAAATATTTGAACATTTATGTATTTCATCTGGTGCGAAAACAATTTTCAATACCATTTTTTCCGCGATGACTGAAGCTAGACACTCTGCAAATCGACAAAACATCAACAGGAAAAGAACAGTGGCTATCATCTATAAATTTTGTTAATGTTTGCAAATAACAAATTTCTATGCACGTTATTTATGCATATATTACTTGCAAAAAGTTTAATATTTTTGGTATAGACGATTTTTTGCGGCATGAAACTTAAGATCATATGAAAACACTGTTATCGTACAATATAATTATTGCAAGCTAAGGGTGGAGATAGCGTATGGATTTTGAGAAATTTGAAAAAANTATAGCTTTTTTTCAAAACACACCATTTAATTACAAGCCAAGCCCTGCTATTCTTCATCCTTCCAGTTCGTTGTATCACGAAACAATCTTAGACGAACCCGAGGCTAATAAGGAWAGATTTCTAACCGCTAAACCCATCATGGACGAAGCGACGAACAACAAGTTTAAGACAAATTTGAAGACATTTTMTCTCAATAATAGACATTCATGTCTGAAGTTAAATCGATGATAAAAGGTTAAAAATATATCCGAATTTTGTAAAATAGTTGCTTAAGCACAAAAAGACAATGAATTGAGATTGTTTATTGCTCATTCTTAATTAAAAGCCTTCAAAAGTTAAACATCAGTAGAGAATGGAAGGTTAAATCAATAGCCATGAATACAGTCGAAGATCCCGATAGTAAATATATATTTTCAGTTAAAATATTAATTATTCGCCGTCGGTATCAATTAAACTTATCTTTTTTTGATGGGGATTTTATCGAGATCAACGAAGCGACAGTCAGCTCATTTCTGTAAAAAAATATATATATTATAATCTTATGATTATGATTATGATATATAAGCCCATCGCTATTCCTCCTCATCCACTTCTATAATGGCACGCATGATGTGGCTTTTACGACAGTGACGCAACTAAAGTCACGACGGAAAACGCGTGCGCGTTATTTCGATCGCTATGAAAATAAGGTACGACATATAATCTCAGGATCAACTGCAAATTACCCTAAGCGTACGGTTCACATGAGGTATATTCCTCGATCAGATGAGCCGATACTACTAAATCAGGGAAGAAATACTTCTAGTTCAAGTAAGGGATCCTAGTTTTATATCGGAATATATGGTTCTCTTCATCTTCTTTGCTGTGCTACTCATATGATAGATTTCACGGTCCTCATTACACCAGGATATTGTCCATACACCTTTAAGAACACGGCACGAGTCGTCCGTACCTAGTTTAGTACGGGATGAATTAGTTCTATCCCCTCAAACAAATTCAAACGTCCCGCGCAGAGAGAAGAATATTTCAGCTTGTTGTATCTGACTGAAATTGAGTCCAAGACTGGATGAATCTGTCCCTTGAGTTTTTCACATTCACACAGAATGTCCTTTTTATCATTTTTTCAAACTACAAGCGGTTAAGAATTGACAAAATGAAAACTAGATTGGTTTCAAAGCGATAGCTAAGATACATACGGATGATGACTACATCACGGGCGGAGAGACATAGAGATAAAATACAGTAAATGTATGTAAATTGGGCTGTGAGGGGCCCGTGAAATGCACTCTACGCCCGTGATATAGCTTTTTTTCAAAACACACCAATTAATCACAAACCAAGCGCTGTTATTATTTA